CAGGCACAGCAGGCAGGCGGCCCCCAGCTTCATCCCAGCACTCTCCGGCCGGCCGTGGATTGGCTCTGCAGCTTCCCAACCCCTGGCGCTTCCCGGTGGTGCCTCCGGCGTGGCTGCAGGAGCAAAGGGGTTCGGCTTGGTCAGGGCAGCTTGGTCAAAACCAGGGTGTTTCACTGGGCTGACAGCTCTGGGGATAACACCCCCTGCACACGAGTTGTACAAACCCCAGGCCATTAAAAGAAGGTTTTGTCCTAGCCGAGCACCTTGGGCCAGGCCTGGCATCGCTCCTTCTCTCTGGGACTCCCGGGGAGCCCATGGGATCCTGCAGCCCAGGACGTGGGACACGGGCCACCGCAAAAACGCGGGGCTGGCAGCACCATGCAAAGGCTGCACATGGGTTTCGCTGCCGAACGGACCATGGTCATCCCTGCACCCAGCTGCTGAACTGTTAACCTGACAGCACTCTGTAACGTGCTTTATGGCACCAAGGCGATGAGTGGGATCGTGCAGAGCAGGCTGAGTGATGGGCTTCATTTCTGCAGCCACCTGCGGCAAGGGAGCAGGGCAAGGGGCAGAAGCAGGAGAGCTGGGTTAAGCAGGACACGGCAGGGACATGCAGCAGCTTTATTTCCAGGGACTCCATGGTAGGGGGGTTGGAACTAGATGATCTTAAGGTCCTTCCCAACCCAACCCATTCTATGATTCTATGACTTTTGCAAAGGATGAGTTTGCAGCATGCCAGGCAGGAGCCAGACTGGGCTCCTGAGAGCTCAGGTTTGCTGCAGCCACCAACTTTTTACAGCCCCTTTTTGGAAACCCCTAAGCCGGTTGGACGGACACAGGGACACACACGCGCTCACAGAGGCAAAGCAGCGCTCAGGAAAGCAGCAAGCAACAAAAGCATCACGAGAGAGAGAGGAAAGCATCGCTCCGCACGCTGGGGCTGCACTTACCGAGGCGAGGCGCTGGCTGCCGGCCCGCCCAGCCCCGCCGCAGCGGCTC